AATTGGTATCCCCATCGCGGTCAACAAGTTCAGTAGCATCGGTGAACAATGAGTTAATGTAACAACTGGCGGGCGGGGAATCGTTCAGTGGGTGAGGGACGTGTGAAGTAAGAACTAAATGACAGTGCCATTTCTGGTACAGTATAGGTTACATTCCTGACCTTCTCTCTCTCTCTCTCTCTCTCTCTCTCTCTCTCTCTCTCTCTCTCTCTCTCTCTCTCTCTCTCTCTCCTCTCACTAAAAGAACACACGAAAATCAATGACTAGCCGGGTTCATGCCCTTGCCACGACTTCAGAAGTAACCAGATTTGCCTCCAGCGATTGGTACTCGACTGTGTGTCATCTAATTTCGAATTCCTTTGGTTGCCAGCTACTGGCAGATAGCTGGTCTCTCCAACCCCTTTCTGGCACCCATTAATCTAACCTTGTATTGATTTAGATACCATCTTCCCCTGTGTCGTCCGAGCGGAATTAACTCGCGCATCAGACTCCTGTGTCCACTGGCTTGTATTGATGTGTACGTGTCCTAAGACGGGGTGCCATTGCCCTTGTGGCATAGGCAGGGGCATAAGCACAAAGACAACATTGGCTAACGGGAGGGTGTGTGTCATGGACTCAATAATTTTCTCAGTGGGGAGGGGGAGGGAGTTAAGGGACTGAAAATCTAAGTGTGCATAATAATAGTAGTAGTAGTAGTAGTAGTAGTAGTAGTAGTAATAGTGGTAGTAGTAATAGTGGTAGTAGTAGTAGTAGTAGTAATAGTAGTAGTAATAGTAGTAGTAGTAGTAGTAGTAGTATTAGTAATAGTGGTAGTAGTAGTAGTAGTAGTAGTAGTAGTAGTAGTAGTAGTAGTAGTAGTAGTAGTAGTAGTAGTAGTAATAGTGGTAGTAGTAGTAGTAGTAGTAGTAGTAGTAGTAGTAGTAGTAGTAGTAGTGGTAGTAGTAGTAGTAGTGGTAGTAGTAGTAGTAGTAGTAGTGGTAGTAGTAGTAGTGGTAGTAGTAGTAGTAGTGGTAGTAGTGGTAGTAGTAGTAGTAGTACTCTTAGTAGTAGTAGTAGTAGTAGTAATAATAGTATTAGTAGTAGTAGTAGTAGTAGTAGTAGTAGTAGTAATAGTAGTAGTAGTGGTAGTAGTAGTGGTAGTAATAGTAGTATTAGTAATAGTAGTAGTAGTATTAGTAATAGTGGTATTAGTAGTAGTAGTATTAGTAGTAGTAGTAGTAGTAGTAGTAGTAGTAGTAGTAGTAGTAGTAGTAGTAGTAGTAGTAGTAGTAGTAGTTGTAGTAGTAGTAGTAGTAATATTACTAATAATAATAGTATTAGTAATAGTGGTAGTAATAGTAGTAGCAGCAGCAAAGCACTGCACAGCACAGTAAAGTAGTGAAGTACTATTCTTGTTTTCTTTTTAACACCAGCAGGGAAATCAGAGTCAGAATTGTGAGAGCAACCATCCTTCCTGTGGCAACACAAAGATGTGGGTCGTGGACTATGTTTTAGTCATTAGGGAAGAAAATAGGGGCCTCTAAACTGTAATGCTATAGAAAGATTGTCAAAATGTCATGGATTCAGAAAGAATGAAATGCTGACATTCTTAAAGAACTAAACATCGAGAAAGATTGATTAGTTAACAGCATCCATTTTCGGGGACTAGACTATTTTGTCCATATCAAGCGTTGATGAGCTTTGATTGGGGAAGGAGGGGGTGGGGGGTAATTCCAGAAAGCATGGTGCCAGGAAAGAGGGGCAGGGGCCACCAGCAGAAAGATTGGCATAGGATATAAGTGACCTCTTGGGTACGAGAGTGCACGAGGCCAGAGAGTTGGCGAGAAACTGAGTTTCTTTCATGCAGACCGTGATGAGAGCGACGTCTTGCAAAGAACCTGCTACATGATGATGATTGGTATCTGCTAAACGGCAGATAAATTGAATATATTTGACCAGAATAAAACGTATACACAAATTCGTCCTTTTCTGTTTCTTAAACGGCTTTCGCGTAAAACAGGGTCTTGCCACTCAAGCGTCTTTCGCTTGTTGCGTTGTATTTTTCTTTGTTTGTCAGCATCAGCATTTCACAAATTCCTATGTGTTAGTGGCACCTCTTAACCTTGTTGCAGATTGTCTAGTTGAAAGGGTGTGGTGCGGGAATGGGCTTATCCCTCAGAGTTTTTAGAGGGTAGGCTTAAGATACCTTAGCTCCCAGATTCCGTTTACCCTGCACACAGATGATTCTCTTCTTTTCTTGGTTTCTGTAGGTCAGATGGGGAAATAGGAAAAAAAAGGGGGGGGGGGAGGGATATAAACGGTAAATGAAATGAATGCCCTAGTTTCCAAGAAAGGTGGCTGGATAGACGTCAGATTTCTCCTCGAGACTCGCTTCATCGCTGCTCTAGAGAGGGACAGTCGGCTATATGATGGGGATTGAGGAAACGAGGACGTCCGAAAGAGAAACCCTACGGCGAACGTTGATGCGATTAGCCAAAGTCGCTGGGCTGCTTCAGCTCATGATGTCGAAGTAATTGCACAGGATTGAACGGATTGGAGGAATAGAGTGCTAGCCCTGTGTGACATAACATGGCACAACAGGACAGTGAAGGCAGTAATGAATGAATGTATAAATAGTTGAACACAATACTGAATATACACCTGAAGTTATGTCAGCTTCGGGTTTCCACGATTGATGTAGTCGCAGGTGCATCGCCCCAGACCCAGAAGTCGTTTCCTTTGTGTCACACCGTATCCTGGTATAATAGGAGAACCTGGAGGGAAATGAGTGTATGATAGACACATGCGTGGCAAGAAGAGCCGGAGTCAATTTAGCACAACCTCCTAGCTACTACTACAATAACCACTCCTCTTTCTCATCCTCTTCCTACCACTACTACTGCTACTAATACTACTACAGTACTACTACTGCTGGAACTACTGCAAATACTACTGCTGAATGCCGATTAACATCATCTTCATGCATTTCTCAATGGCAGTCCCGTTCAGTTGGAAATGTGGGATGTATAACTTGTAAAATTGATCTTAACCACAACGACCACCACTATCATGACATGAATGGTCTCGGCGTTTAGTGAAATTTGCGATCGTCACTTCCATTAGTTTCACAACCGGAAGTCAGTCCTCCGAGCCATCTCATTGCTCCTGGCGTCATGGTTACCGCGGAGTTGTGTCTCTTTGCCCCCCCCCCCCCCCCCTTCTCTCTTTCTCTCTGTCTCTCTCTCTCTGTGTCTCTCTCTCTTTCTCTCTGCCTCTCTCTCTCTCTGTCTCTCTGCCTCTCCCTCTTTCTCTCTACCTCTCTCTCTGTCTCTCTTTCTTTTTCTCTGCCTCTCTCTCTGTCTTTCTCTCTCTGTCTCTCTCTCTGTCTCTCTCTGTCTCTCTCTGTGCCTCTCTCTATCTCTCTGTCTCTCTCTGTCTCTCTCTCTGTCTCTCTCTGTCTCTCTCTCTGTCTCTCTCTTTCTCTCTGCCTCTCTGCCTCTCTCTCTCTCTCTCTCTCTCTCTCTCTCTCTCTCTCTCTTTCTCTCTCTCTCCGTGGATGCTGTCATAATCAGCTGCCAAAGCCACAAATGTTGTGGAATTATGTGGATGAGTTTTTCTGATGACAGATTTGACATTAAGAAAGAAGGATAGTAGGGCAGACCCGAAGGAGGCTCGGTGATAGTTACAGTGCTATTACAGTTATCTGTTGTTTGAGGACTTACGTAATGGGCGTATGGGGCTACATTCAGCACCGGTCGGCGTTCTATAAAGTACCCAGTGTCTCCTTGGTTACGAACTCTTATATTTCAATACAGTCAGTTCCCCCGTGTGGGTTCGGGGGCCCCATTCTGGGGAAAACAAGAATAGACCCACTGCCTTCCCAGCAAGCATGTCGTAGGAGTCGACTAACTGGGGACTTCCTTCGAAGCCGAAGTGCATCTGCCAGAGCGACAAGGAACAATCAACTGCACACAAATAAGTTGGTAAAACGGAATTGCACACAAAACCGTGGACGAAGAAGCATGACTTTCCGGCGGAGCTTACAGCTGGTGAACAAAAGAAAAAGAATAAAGTCAGTTAGTTGGCGCCTTTCCTGATCATAGTGTTTTCTTGTTCGCTTTAGGGAGATCTTGGATGCATTCCTGCTCTGTATAGAACAAAGCGGTGTTATAAGGACCAAGCTGTATGATCTCCCTCTGTCTGTCTGTCTGTCTGTCTGTCTGTCTGTCTGTCTGTCTGTCTGTCTGTCTGTCTGTCTGTCTGTCTGTCTCAGTCTGTCTGTCTGTCTCAGTCTGTCTTGTTTACGTTGAAGCTAAAGTAAAAACAGCACGTTTGCAACAAAACACGGCGTAGTAACTGGCCAGAAGATTAGTGCTCTGTCTATCCGCCGGTCGGAGATCCCCTCTTACTAGACTAGCTGCAGACTAAGGCTAAGGGCCTGATCTACCATGCCTTACCATTACGTTTTCAGATTGCATTTTCTCTTTCTACGATATGGCTAGTATCCTCCCCAAATTCACTCCTCCGTCTGAGCCGTTTGCACAATGTGGTATCTCACGTTTTATATACCCGTACACGTTTCTATAGGTTGTTGCTTTAAAAAAAAAATGTCAACCATTGCACAGCACAGCACAGCCGCACAGTTTGAATCTTCAGCATGGTTGATAATGAATCGTATACACGCCCCTGCACAGTTAGCATCACCGAATGATTGTATTGCTTGGCTGAGTTTGCATATTTCCTGACTAAGACGTGATCCGAAGCAGACCTCATAAAGTGCAGCTTTATTGCACGCTGCAGGCATAAACAGCCCCCAGAGCAGCTACAGTAGTAACGTTTTCCTCCATTTATACATTTCTTTCTCTGTCCAAGCGACTCTGAATTGATTCACAGGCGTAATTCGGCTTTACTGGTAATAGCTTGAGCGCAGTCACTTATTCATAACACGGCCACAAATATCCCCCTATACAACATATCTGTTTGACTTGTCTAGAACCAGATATATTCTTTTTCTTTCGCAGATGAAAGAGACGCCGTACAGAAAAAGACCTTCACAAAATGGGTCAACAAACACCTTTTGAAGGTAAGTTTCGGGTGGTGATTTGTAAATATCCTCATTTGAGTCACGCCCAAGGAGATTTGACACCTCAGTATTGGGCTCTTCACATTCTAGTCTCTAGTTTTTGTTAAAGGGTATAGTGCGAAGGAGTGTCAGTCGTACACGTCAATAGATTGTCGGGTTGTTGACTCTGGTGCTTCAGACGGGGACTGTGCACCGTTTCTTTTCATTTAATATTATTTGTAACTGCTCTTGTAGTTATGCATTAATATACTGTAGGACATATTGCGGTCAGATCTCTGTGTATTTGATTTCTGTGTAAGTATTTAAAAAAAAAACCGAACACAAAATCTCACCCAGCATAACAAACAAACTAGGCTAAAATTAATAAAATCTTTGAAAAAGAGGCTGTCTTAACAATGTATATAAATTTAAAAAATATACATGTTCCTACATTTCATATTGTATCAAGTATAGCAATATTTTTATTTGCCATTCAGCACATTTGTGTACTGTTCAGCTAGTGTATAGCTGGGCCCGACTTCGTTATCAGAACCGACCTCTCATACGTTCGATGTGAGTCAGTCAGTTGATACCGGAATATTTGCTGTTCGTGGAGATTTTGATGTCTTGTTAGGAGCCACTAAAGTTATAAGTCTCTAAAATAGCTGGAATCGGAATGCAGCAATAGCTTAGACAAGAAACAAGCATATCGTACAAGTCGACTGATTATGGGTGTTTCTTTCGAAGTCCAAGTCCACCTGCCGGCTAGTCGAGGAGCCAACAATCTGCATACTGATAAGGCAGATCTGTGAACCGGATGTTCACGCAAAACTCAAGTTTTGGAACAAAACTAAAGTTCAGAAGTGGACATACAGTGAGAATTTCCGTCCGGAGTTTACAGTCGGTGAACGTTACAAAAAAGCAGAAGAAGAAGAAGAAGAAGAAGGTTTAGCTATCGTCTTCTGTATCCAGCCCAGTGACTTTCATTTAGACATTTTGGAACTGTCTGTTGGTTCGCTAGCTGTTATTGTAATCTGCCTATGCTAGTTTGGTTGGCAAGAGTGCACACAGCCCGTGAAATTGTATCTTGCCTTACGGTGTTTGTACACAACTTGGGTTGAACCCGTTTCTCCAGTCGTGACGGCAATAGCCAGTAAAGTTATGCTGCGCGCAATCAGATCACTAAAAATCACAATTGTCCTCGGTTTGTGTGCCGATGTTTTGTATGTAGCACGGGGTTGAAGAATCCCGGGGGAGCAGCTTGGATGGCTATAAACATTGTTATCGCGCGGTTTTCAGTTTCCCAACAAAAGACTGCTGCGTGTTTATGGTATTTGTACACTGTCTTTACTGCCGATATTTACCACCTTTTAAGGCGGCGGCGGCACGCACAGGTGCTCCCCGAGCCTGTGGATTTAAAGCCCCATTACTTTCGTGCAGGTCGGGAGTCGTCGTGGTGTAGCGGCTAGACGCTTACTTGTGGATCCGTAGGTCGTGGGTTCAGATCCTGATAGAGCCGGGCTTTTTTGGCATAAATGACCTTGGCCGCCAGGCCGACCCAACCTTAAATGGGCAACAGGCCTAATCCTGGTTAGTAAAGGCGGCCGGCATGATACTCTCCACATCACCAACCGAATGCTTTATAAAATATAGCTCTAGCCCTATATGCCCAGAACGCTTAAAGGCATGGAAAAGAATTTCTTTATCCTACTTTCCTGAAGGCTAGAATTTTTGTCTTAGTCCCTCGACAGAAAGAAATGTCCTTCGCCTTGACCCAATAATTGAACATGGTTCCCTCTAACGAAAGGCCAGCATTGTAACCACTCGACCAACTGTTCCTCCGTGATGATGTTTTGCACAAGTATTGAATGTTATATTTGAGTATATTTGATAATGGACGCAACTGCACATTGGGCATATGCCTGCAGCCATTGCAGTGTAGCTCTAATGATTGTGGGGAGTCAGTTTTAGTGTCTTCTATCTCCTCCTCGAATGCGGCATAGACTTGCTTCACTGTTCTTCGCTCCTATGTCACGCAGTCGCGTTAGTGTGAGATATTCGTCATTTTTCACTAACCTAGTCCGTAGAGAGTTGGTGATAATCTGCTCTGTCCATGCTTCTTTTCACATGCGTTGGTATTGAATAGCACTCATCGGGGATGAAGGAAAGAAACAGAACAGAGCTCACATGTAATTGTAAAAGTGGTGTAGTTGTCTTTGAATCGTGCACCTCTCTTCATGTGGGTGTTGAGGCCCCATTGAGGCAGGGAGTCGAGATAGACCTGTTGATCCATAACAAGCACCTCGTGAAAGGTGATTAATTCAGTGTTTGTCAGAATTTGGTGCAGGCCTAGCTGTAAATGGCGAACACAATCTGCACAATCACTATTTTAAGGAGGAGGAGGAGCACCACTGCTAATGCATTTGTCATGAACTGTGCAGGTTGTGATTCTTGGTTTGCGCCCCCGCACCGCCCCTCCATTTTTTTTTAGTAAAAAGAAGTAGCCCTCGCCTTACCACAGAGCAGAACCCAGTTTTATAGAAACTAGAGATCAGCATTGTAACCACTGAGACATCTGTTACTCTGTAAGAATCTAATGCACATGTATTAATAAACATCCATAGTGGATGCAGGAACGAGATCAGATATGGACTACAAATTGACAACCATGGGCGTACCAGTCTTTAGACCCTGGGTGGGTGGAAAATGGGTGGGGGTGTCTCCATTGCAGAGTGGTAATCCGTTTGCCTCGCGCTCTGAAGTTCGTGTCTTCGTTTCATACATCATTCAGCCCACATTTTTTAATGGAGATACATGGGGATCATCGCCTGGGCTACGGAGTTTGTGCGTTGTGCGACACTATATAGGCGGCTACATGTTCTCTGCAGTTAGGCAGGACCATATGGGATAAAACCCAGTGCACTGAAGTCGACCTTCAATATTTTAACTTGTTTGCCGAACAGGGCACCACTGTCTTGATGCAAGCGACTCACTAAAGAAGCAAACAGGCTGTGAGGCTTAGCCAGCTAGACACCCTGATGCCTTGTTGGATACTGTCTCAACAGTGTCAGTCATTCACTGCACATATGATAGATTCCGGTATAGTTTAAGTGCAACGGTCCTTTGATTCCCATATGTCCTAACTAACACACAGAAACCAGTTGAGGGAAAGGGGAAGCCAGACCTGCATTGTATGTGTTGTGTGTGTGTGTGTGTGTGTGTGTGTGTGTGTGTTAGTACGTGTGTGCGTGCGAGGGAGGGGAGGGGGGCATCAGAAACCGAGTCATAAGGTCATAATAATTCAATGGACAAGCTTTATGCAACTATTGTAGTGCCCTTCAGAGAGATAGAAAGTAGCAGACGCAGTTTTAAAAGCAAACACGAGGGAGCGGGATGGATGGACAAACTGACGAATCGGTCGTAGTCTCTCCTGTTTTCTCTACTCCCCCTTTCTGTCTTTCTGTCCCTTCTCCAGACTTTTTGTTGCTGAGGTTGGTTCTGCAACGTCCTGTTAAAGGATACGCAACTAACATTTATCCAACATCTCATGGATGAATACTCAACTTCTCTATGAGCGGCCTATTCAATTCCTTACACACAAAGCGGGTGAATACCAAACGTCAATTTTAAAATGTCTGCTATGCGCAGACATTCCTGATTCAACAAAACAATTTTAATGAAAATTTCTCTGAAGGCCTATCGAATTGAATACATTTCAATACAGCCCCATGGGAGAGCGAAGAAAGGGGCACAGAGAAAGGATATTAACACGAAAAGACTTGTATCAGGGGATTGGAAAACCTCACCTCTGTTATATAACTCCCGGTGATGGTGAAGTTAGTGGTGACTGCAATCTAGCTATTTTCCGGGGATCAGATCACCCATCCCTCAGATAGTCGCCTTATTCACAGTGCAGGAATTATGTTAATTTTTTATCAACTTTTATTAAGTTCAGATTTCTTTATTTGTATGGTTCAGGTTGAAAAAAAAAAAAACCATAAGATTCAACGCGTTTTCCTCCCTCTGCCAAATTCCTTCCTTCAATTTTTTTTTCTTCATTATTTTGCTATTTTGTGGATACTGTTCTTATTTTCTAGGAAATACTAGAGATTGCAGCGATCATCTGCGACAAGCACGTTTCATACGATTTTCTTTGGTAGTCATTTAATCATTTGTATCGCCTTATTTGTGGCGGTCATATTTCAGTTTTTGTAACCAGGTATTGTTCATGTTATTATTACTATTATTTTTTGTTGATGAAGACTGGTCGAGACAATAATCTGTGTGCAGCTTTCTTTTCCTTAAGATTATTACTTACACTTCCAGTGTTCAGGCATGTTTTTATGTTTCGATTCATTGCCTTTCTGCTGTGCCTTGGTCATATGCAACCTGTGCAGTGTTGAATTTGTAAATTGTCTAGTTGTCTAGTAACGCAGGAGAGAGAGACTTGACGGCCGGAGCGGATTGACATGTAGATTAATTAGAGCGCCCCTGTCCCCGAGACTAATGACATTGTGTCCACGGAATCAGGGACACTAGTAGACTGTCTGCAACCGGATATTGGTTGCCACCTGAGACTGACACGGAACGCTAATGGATATTGCAGGTTGATTGCGGGCCGTGTGTGTGTGTGTGTGTGTTCGTGTGTGTTCGTGTGTGTGTGTGTGTGTGTGTGTGTGTGTGTTAGTGTGTTTTACAGTTGGCGAGATAGCATGGGCTTGAATAAGTGCTCACTGATTAGCACCCATGGAAGAAGATATAAGGATGGACGTTGACTCCAGAGGATAGAGTAGCAGTTCGCGTATGGGTTTCTAGACCGATTTTGACAAGGAAAAAAAAAATGGGGTGATTTCACGCCAGTAAGTCATAAAAAGCTGCCAATTAGGATTTTTGCTGCAGTCGGGTGTATCGGGATGAGAGGTGCAAATATCATATCCTAGCTGTAAACCACAACACAACGTGTCAACCAGCCTTTTTAAGGTCGAATACATCATACAAAGCAGAAGAAAAGGAGGAGGAAA